CTGGACCTGAGTGACAGGTCTGAAGGGTCTCAGTTGCACTTAAGGCATTAAAATGTCCCTGTGCCTTTTGTGTCCTATTAGTAGGTCAAGGAACCCAGTAGCAAGGTGGACTCAGGTTGTGGCCTCCAGGGGCTCTGGCTGTCATGGGCGAGGGGAGATGAGCAGAGCTGGAGGCTGCAGGGAGGAGGGAAGAGGAAAGAGGGAGCTGGCAGGGTGGGCCAGGGTTCCCCACACAGACTCGGTGGAGAAGGGCTTGTCATCATGGCGACTCTTTGTGCTACAGCCTAGGAGGTGAGACCTACAGTCATGGACCAGATCCCAGGGCAGTGTGGATGATGGAGGAGGAGGAGGGTGAGTCCAAGGCAGGTGTGGGGACAGAAGACGTGGGCCTCCAGTTACCTGCACAGGGCCTGCATTTTGTCCTGAGGAAGGAGGATCAGGAGCCCCTGAGGGCTTTTCCTGGAGCCGCGGGTGCTGCCATGGAGTGCAGGGAAGGTCACTCTGGCAGCTGTGGGGAGGGCCTGGAGCCCAGGGAGTTGGTCCTGAAGGAAGGAGGCAGCTGCCATAATCCAGGTCAGAATCAACAAGGACATAAAACCACCTGCTCATTGTTTACTCGTTTCTTCATCATAAGTTCTCTGAATATGTCCTTGGATCCAAGCCCTAGGAAACCAGGAATGTGGGTATGACCCCATTTCAACCCTGAGAGTGGCTTTGAAGCCTATTGTCCCTAGACCACACCTGAGGATGTTACCTGGCCCACTTCTCTCACATTTCACAGGAGGGGACTGAAGTCAGAAGGGGTATGGTTTCTACCTCCAAGGTCCTGCACAGCCCAAGGACACAGGGCCTGGAGGAGGTCCCAAGTGTCTTCATGTCCTGACCTGACCTCTCTCAAATGGAACATGGATCTCAGCTATGATTCTATTTTCCATCCATCCGTGCACTCATCCATCCATCCATCCACCCATCCATCCATCCATCCATCTATTCATCCATCCATCCATCATCTATCCATGGATGCATCTACCCACCCATCCATCCAACAATCCATCTGTCCAGCTATCCATCTATCCTTCCATTCTTTCAGCTATTTCAGAGACAGCACTTCCTACAGTTGGGCAGCAAGACTCTTGTTGAAGAAGATGTGGATGAGGCATTTCTGTGGGTGCCAGAGGACCTCCATATAGTGCTAGGTTAATATTACTAAGTTATGGCTGAAATTCAATATTCTATAAAACATACAAGTAGGGAATATAATTCCTCATACCAACAGCTACAGAGATCATCACATATTAAGAATAACAGAGTTGTAAGCATTTTAGTTAAAGTAAACTCTCACAGGACATTGTCATTTTAAGAAATTACTCAATTTCAGGACAACTGACAGATCATGGGCAGGTTCATCTTCAGTGACGGATATTCGCTAACATTTTCCTTATTCTTTCAAACACATGTGAGATACTTTTGCATCTCGAAGTATTCATATCAATAACATGTTCATCCGAAATTTCTCAGGGCATTTCTGACTCTTTTCATTTACTTCTAGTTGAAACTCTCTATCTTTGATTGCTAAAAGTTGAGTTTTAATTGAGACTGAATAAGTAGCATGATCTTTATTATTTTCTTTAGCTCCACAGATTTAAATTCCACTGAAATGCTGAAATGTACATGTTTTTGTCTTCAGGCCCAACTCTTCCATGAGCTCCAAACTAGAGTGTCTCACACCCACTGTGTCCCATCCTCCTGGATAGCCAATGGATGTCTTGGAGTTGGGAAACTTATCCAGGCTAGCATGGGACTCCAGATCTTTGCCCTAAACCTGCTTCTCCCCAGGCTTCACCTCTCAGCAGTGGCATCGCATCCAGCCAGCTGCTCCAGCCCAAATGTGATGGGATCATTTTGATTCCCCTTCTCTCCACATCCTCGCCCCATATTCAATTCAGCAGCAGGCGCTGTCAGTGCTGCCCCAGCCTCTGTCTCCCTTGTGTCTCTCCAGGGCTGCACTGTGACAAGGCCATAGTGTCTACCTAGATGGCCACAGGGACTCCTGGTTGGTCTTCCTGCCTCCACTGCCACCCCCATTACTCTATTTCAACAGGGAAAGCATGACCTCGTAAGTCCTGCTCCTCCCCTCCCAGGATTTTTCACTGCACATGGAAAGGATTCACCTTTCTGCAAGGTCCTGCGTGACCTGGCACTTGCCTCGTTTTCTGACGTGACGTCCTTCCCCGCTGTCCCTTGTTCCAGGTGCCCTGGCCATTTCTCCAACACACTAAATCCTTTCTCATCACACTGCATTCCCTGCCCCAGACCTTCACCTGGTGGCTGCCTCAGGTTCTTCAGGACTCAGGGAAGACGTGTCTCCTCACGTGCCTTCTGGGACCACCTGACCCAGTGTGGCACCCCAAGCCAGTTCCACCCGATCACATTTCCCTGTTGGGTGGTCCTTGTGGTTGTCATCACTATTACAATTTTCTTCAGCTTTGCAACCCCCTCTTCACCTTGGATGTGAACTTCAGGGAAGCAGGGCCCTCACCTGCCTTGTTTTCCGACTGGGTGCCCGACTCTGGGAAAGGGCCTGATGTGTGGCAGGAGAGACTCCTTCCCTGGCTGAGTGGATGGATGAGGACTGGGATGGAAAGTGCATTAAATGAGACCAATTCTGGGAACAGAGGGGAGAAGATGTGTCTGGAGATGGGGGACTGAAACGTGTGACCTGGGAGGAGATGACATTTGAGTGATGACAAGGAGAATGGGTAGAAGGGAGAAAGGGCATTTTGGGCAGTGGGAGTGAGGGAGGAGGAGAATGTTGAAAGGAAGTCTGGGAGTGCAAAGGTGAGGTGGTCAGCAGTGGAGCCTGGTCCTGGCCAGCCGTGTGTGCCCTGCTGAGGGGTAGATAGGCACCTGTAGGGAAATAAGCCCTCAAAGATCCAGGGAGAAAGAAGATCCAGGCTGGTTTTCCCATGGAGGGAGAGTGAGGCTGGAGGCAGGGAGACTCAGAGGGATGGAGGTCTCGGTGACCTGAGTAGGAGCGAGGGACAGGGTTTGGAGGGTGTCATCTGAGAGACACCTGGGTGGGAGAGAGAGGGAGGAGTCTGTGGGGAAAAGAAAGAAAGATCAGACTGTTACTGTGTCTATATAGAAAGAAGTAGACATAAGAGACTCCATTTTGTTCTGTATTTGAGATGCTGTTAATCTGTGACCCTACCCCCAACCTTGTCCTTGCAAGAGACATGTGGTGTGGTGACTCAAGGTTTAAAGGATTTTGGGCTGTGCAGGGTGTGCTTTGTTAAACAAGTGCCTGAAGGCAGGTTGCTGGTTAAAAGTCATCACCATTCTGTTAATCTCAAGTACCCAGGGACACGCACACTGCCAAAGGTCGCAGGGACCTCTGCCTAGGAAAGCTAGGTATTGTTCAAGGTTTCTCCCCATGTGATAGTCTGAAATATGGCCTCGTGGGAAGGGAAAGACCTGATCGTCCCCCAGCCTGACACCCTTGAAGGGTCTGTGCTGAGGAGGACTAGTACAAGAGGAAAGAAGGCCTCTTGGCGGTTGTTGGCAGTTGAGATAGAGAAAAGCATCTGTCTCCTGCCCGTCCTGGGCAATGGAACATCTCGGTATAAAACCTGATTGTATGTTCTGTTTACTGAGAAAGGAGAAAACCGAAAGGTGGGACTTGCTAGCGCAATGCTGCTCTTTATGCACTAAAAAGGTTTATGGAGATGTTTACATATGCATATCACGGCACAGCACTTTTCCTTAAACTTATTCATGTCACAGAGAACTTTATTCATGTGTCTTACTGCTGACTTTCTCCCTATAATGATCTTATTATCCTGCCACTTCCTTTTCTTTAAGATGGTAAAGATAATTATCAATAAATACTAAGGGAACTTAGAGACTGGTGCCGACGTGGGTCCTCTGTATGCTGAGCGCCGGTGCCCTGGGCCCACTTTTTCTTTCTCCATACTTTGTCTCTGTGTCTCATTTCTTTTCTCAAGTCTCTCGTTCCGCCTAATGAGAAATGCCCACAGGTGTGGAGGGGTAGGCCACCCCTTCAGGAGTCTAGGGTAGTGTGAGCTGATAGGGGTAGACGACCACCGCCTGGGAGGTCCAAGGGGCCTGCGGAAAGGGCCTGAGGTTTGGGGAGGGCCCTCCCCCAGAAGGAGTTGATGGAGCCTCATCAGTGTATTGAAGGCCACTGAGACCTCCATCGAAGACGAAATCAACTGAGGGGTGAGGTGGGAGAGAGGGGCCATGTCTGAGGGTGGCACTCGTTCCCTGTGACCTCAATGTCAATGTCCCCTGTCATGGTGATATGGCCACACAGACCCATGGCCTCATGCAGATTGCCTGGTCCCACCAGCCCCAGGAGCAGAGCTGAGCTGCAGGTATTTATGGGGACTCTGAGGCCTGTGACTCAGTCAGGAGGGCGGGATTTCCCAGTCTCCAGCATCCCGAGTCCTGGGGAGCCCTGGAGGGTCTGCATTGAGGGGTTGTGGGGTAGAGATAGGGGGAGAAAAAAGGATGGCTTGGGTAGATGGAGATGGAGAAGTGTGTTAAGGTTGATTTCCTGGGCTCAGAAAACAGGCATATCGGCTGGGCACGGTGGCTCATGCCTGTAATTCTAGCACTTTGGAGGTTGAGGTAGGTGGATCAGTTGAGGTCAGGAGTTTGAGACCAGCCTGGCCAACATGGCAAAACCCTGTCTCTACTAAAAATACAAAAATTAGCCAGGTGTGGTGGTGTGTGGCTATATTCTGCTACTCAGGAGGCAGAGGTAGGAGAATTGCTTGAACCCAGAAGGTGGAGGCTTCTGTGAGCCAAGATCGCGCCAGTGTACTCCAGTCACCCTCCTCCCTGCCAAAAAGAAAACAGGCATATCTGTGCTACATCTGGTGAGTTCTTCCTCAGTCATGTATTTTCACACTTGGACCCTGGTCACACTCTGTACATGCCGTCAAAGCCAACCCCACACAGATTTCAGAACACAGAGCTGAGCTGCAGGTGTTTATTGGGGTCTCTGTAGTGATAAACAGAGCCAGGTCAGGAACGTGGGGAGCCCGAAGGAAGGCAGGAGGACCAATATCTGATCTGCAGGGGTCCTCAGATCAGGATGCATCTACGCAATCGGGGCTCTGAAGGATCTTCGTCTGTTGGAAAAAGAAGAAAGAGAGGAGCTGGTAGCCTCTGTGAAAGGCTCCCCAGACTCATCGTTACTGCCCAGTCCCAGAGCTCAGAGGAGCTCCTTAAGTGTGTCTGCTTCTTGGGGATCCCAGGCTCTGGACAAAGATGGTGGATGTGGGTTGTGACTGCTGCTTGAGTGTGACTCGGCATGTTTTGGTGTAACACGTGTATGCATGTGTGTGTGCAGGCATGGGGTATGTGTGTTGCTGTTAATAGCATCCTTTGTGAGCGTATGTTGCTGTGTACTCATCATCAGTGCATTGGTGCAGTGACTGTGGTTCCCGGCATGCCTGGGCCTCTCCCGGGCACCAGGGGCAGAGATTCTCCCCTTGCAGAGCTGCAGCATCTGGGTCAAGGACTTGGAGAGGTGAGGCAGCAGGGCCCTGTTGGGGCAGGTGGGGGCCTGCATCTGATTGTGGGCATCCTGGGATGTGGCTTCCTGCTTAAAATATGGAAAGCAGGGAAGTGCAGGCCTGGGATGTGTGCCCATGTAGTGTGTGCAGGTCCCCCAGGGCACACTCACAATAACAAATGAATGAGCAAATCTTTCTTTCACGGAGACATTGGCAAAGCATTGCTGGATCTTGAGGAAGGACTCCTCGGTCAGGGGGCTGGGGTTATAAGGAGCAAGCTCCTCCTTCAGGAGGTCTTGAGAGACATCAAACACAACATTCCCAAGCAGTTTATCGATAGCCAGGCAGGCATCCCCTGTGGTGGATGAGGTGAGATAAGAAAGCAGAGGAGGGCAGAATTCAGTGAAACCTCCCATGGCCAGTGAGACCCTGGGATGGTGATGAGAGTGAAGGAGCAGGGCCACCCGCTTCCTCCCAGCCCTGCTCGCCTCTTTCTCACCCAGCTGGACGCTGCAGATCAGAGCCAGCAGAAGAGCACAGGGGGCAGATGTCACCCTCATGACAGCGGAGTCTGGTCCCAGCAGGCACAGGCAGGGAATTTGGCGATGGGTGAGCTTTATGTATATCTGAACAAGGGACACGCCTCTTGTGTATATGCGTGTGTGTGTGTGTGTGTGTGAATGTGGTCAGGACAGGTCTGCAGAGAGACCTTCAGCCCTGGGCCATGCTGTCGTGGTGGCAGCGTATCAGGAACTGGGCTCAGCATGCAGTGGGAGGGGTTGGGTGTTGTGACATTCTCTGTCCTCCCTGGACATTGGGATTGGGAGCAGGCTGAGCACTGCTGTGAGCCTGCAGGTCCAAGTGTGCATGCACATGTGACCCTGTGTCTTGGCAAACATGTGTCTGCACTTGGCATGCCCTACCACAGAATCTGCCACTGAGTACTGGCTCAACAAACATTTGCTAAGCGAGTGTGTTTGTCTGAATGGATAGCACATTAGGTGCAGCTTTTGAGAAATTAGTAAACTGTAATTTAGATTCAAGTAACATTATCTGGAGTAAAGCACCGAACCTAAAGGACATGAGATGTAGCAAGTGTGTTAGGGACACATGTGACACAGTGAAGGGACTCTACATGTGGGAGGCCAGCCTCAACACCACCTGTAGGGTACCCGAAGTCTGGTGGCAACAAAGCATTGAGAAGAGACAAGTTAAGAGTGAAAAGTGGGGAGCCAGGGGGCCAGTGCAAAATGTGGAAGCTGAAAAAGGCGCCGAGCTCTGGTCTCCTCACTATTTATTGAGTACAATCACTTAGATCTAAGATGCAGATGTTCAGGGCGAAACAGTGAAAGGGTGGCAGTGCATCATAGGCGTAATCTATAGCAACAGCGGTTTAAATGAATCTCCTTTGTGCTCAAACAGCGTATCTTTAACTTATCGGAGAGGAGCTAGTGGGAGCCGCTTAACTAGGAGCCTGCATGTCTGTCCACCTTCCAGTGTTTCAAAGAAGTGTCTTTCTCCTTGAACACAGTGTTTACAGATGAGAGAGCGGGTCTTGCTCTGAGCATGGGAACATGATGGCAATTAAGAGGCTTTCCTCCTCAGAGGCCTCTTGTGGCTTTCCACAACTTATTGTCCCATATTTTTATGGCCAGTTTATACAGGCACCCCACAAGCCCTTTTCCCAACACCTACATATGAGGAGCTGATGTCACTCACATGATTTCTGTCTCCTGACGGGACCCTGAATAGTAAGGGTGACCCCAGGGGCAGAATCAGCAGGTGGGGACAGCTAGGGGTGGGGAAGGCAGCAGGGATGCTGACACTTGTACACTCGGGTGCCAGTGCCACTCCTGTAGTGCTTTGTGCCCTACTGTGTCAAGGGTGGTTCTGGCTAGGAGCACCTGAGGGACACGCCCAGTGCAGAGGACGCTCACTGAGCTGCTGAGAGCCACATAGAAATGCAGGGCAGTTCCTAGATTAGGCTGTGCCACCTACACTGAGTGGGCTCACCTAGACCAGGCACAAGCCATCACTCTGTGCATGTAGGGAACCTCACAGCAGCGCCCAGGACTTGGGCCTCTTAAAGGACCTACCCAGCACCAGGTAGGACTTAGAGTGGCCGTCACCTGTGGCAGGGCCCTGAATGCCCCCACATTCCAGTTGTAAAGTTGAGTGGATGAGTTGACAGTTGGACTGGCAGGCACTGAAGCAGGGGCTGTGGCTGAGCAGGGAGGATGGAGGCCACTGCCACTCCCTGGTGGGCCACTTACTGTGACGTCCCTGCCACCTGTGGTGCCTGCAGCCTGGGCTGCTTCCCTCACTCCCTGTGCGGGTCACCCAGCTCTGAGCAGGGATGGCCTGACCCTGGGCCAGGGTGGGTGTAGGGGTGGAGGGAGGGCCACATGGGTGGCCCAGGTCAGTGTCAGGGTGGGCCATCCCTCATCCCACCTTCTCACCGAGCTGCTGTGCGCAGGGGCTGGATCCTAGCATGGAAGCTTCCTCTGTTTCGTCACTGTCTGTGCCTGCTCAAGCCGCTTCCCTATGGGCCCTGCTGTCGCACAGCCGCCTGATCGCTGGCTTTCCATTCTGGGACCCCATGGGCCCTGCAGCCTCGGGGCAGGCTGTGAGTCACTGGGCTGGAGATGGCAGTTGTGCTGGTGAGGGTTGTGGGATGAGACAGCTGCGTTCCTGGGCAGGAGCTGTAAAATCTCACCATGTGTATCCGCCTTTCAGACTTTGAGATAGTGTAGGGTTTCGTTTGCATCAGTGTCTTAAGAGCAGTCACATGGCCAGGTGCAGTGGCTCACACCTGTAATCCCAGCACTTTGGGAGACTGAGGCCGGAGGATTGTCTGACCTCAGATGTTTGAGAACAGCCTTGGCAATCTAGTGAAACCCCGTCTCTACAAAAACTACAAAAAAATTAGCCGGGCATGGTGATGTGCACCTGTTGTCCCAGCTGCTTGCAGGGGCTGAGGGAGGAGGATCATTTGCATCCCGAAGTTCAAGGCTGCATGAGCCGAGATTGCACCACTGCACTCAAATCTGGGGGACAAAGGGAGACCCTGTCTCAAAAAAGAAAGAAAAGCAGTCACAAATTAGTAGTTGGGCATGGTGGTGAGTGCCTGCCATCCCAGTTACTAGAGAGGCTGAGGTGGGAACATCTCTTGAGGCCAGCATTAGAGGCCCTAGTGAACGAGATTACATCACTGTACCACTGCACTCCAGCCTGGACGACACAGAGCCTGTCTTTTGAAAGAAAAAAAGTAGCTAAGTGTTTGGGCCTGGCCTTCATTATTTACCATGATCAAGACCTGAATGTGAAAATGGCAGGTGAAGGGCTCCTGTCTTTGGATGCACATGGCCACCTTGCCCACTAGGACATCTGTGCCAAGTGGCATTCCCATCATTCCTAGGAAAATACGTTTCCCACATCCTCACCAACCCTGGGTATTCCCAGTAAGAAAACAAAGTCTGTATCAATTTAATGAAAATAATTTTAATTTGTGCATTTGATGAGTTACGAGAATGAACATATTTTGCATGCATTAGCCACGAGCTTCCCTTTTTGTGATTTGCCTGTTTCTGTCTGTTTCCCAGTTTACCCCATGAGATTTGACTCTTCTTACATGCTTATTCTTGAAGAACTTTTACAATCACGTCAAATCATGAAAAAAAAAAGTACTTGTTAGAATTCTGATTTAAAGTGCTTTCAAATTCTAGATTAATTTGGGGCCAACTGATACCCTCAATATTAAATATTTAATATTGATACTCAGTATTAAATATTTAATATTGATACTCAGTATTAAATATTTAATATTGATACTCAGTATTAAATATTTAATATTGATACTTAGTATTGATACTCAATATTAAATATTTAATATTGAATCCTGCCTTTGAGGGTATGGTGCATTTCCGTCATTCACTGAAGCTTTATTTTACATCTCTCAGTAGAGCTTTATGGATTAGGATCTTCAGAAGCCTGACTTCTTTTCTGGCTCTGATTTCTTGTCCAGAAACTCCACCCCCGTGCTAAGGAGACAGTGGTGGAAGTCCTGGGCGTGCTGCCTTTCTCCTGGCTCTAATGGGAAGGCCAAGAGGCAGGTCAGGGTGGGACTTCACCTTCAGTCTGGCTTTGGCTGTTGGCATCATGAGGACCCCAGGGATTGTACTTTGATAACATGAATAAATGGAAATCTCCTCTAACTCAAGAATGCCTTATATATTGTGTGTAGCATGCACCTGCCTGTGGAAACAACTTCAGATATGAGAGAGAGAGCCCTGGCATGCAGGTGACTTCACAGCCGCTTATGAAAACTATGGGCAGACACTGCATTTGATTTAAATATGGATTTTCTGAAATGTTAACTGTTGCAAAATAATATATCACCTGAAAAGAGGGGCAAGGCATCCTTGGTCATGAGTGGCTCAGGAAGCTGTGCCTGATCTTTGCCCTTGTGGGGACAGGACTCAGGGTGAAGTGTCTGGGAGGTGACTGGCTGGCAGACTCTCCCAGGCCTCCTGTGGCTCCACCACCTCAGCCTTCCACCGCCGTTTAGAGCATGAACCTCTCTGGAAAGCCTGCGGCAAAAGCCCCTTTGGCCTCTGCTCCTGCTGGCAGGTGCCTGCCCTCCAGCTCTGGGCCTGCTCTGTGTGTGTGTGTGTGTGTGTGTGTGTGTGTGTGCCTGGGGCCAAGGACAGGGGCTGACAGGGCTATGGAGAATGTGACCCTTCCCAGCCTTCCCTGATTTCTCTTGTCTCTGTAGCTATGTAGTTTGGGGATGGATGGGGAGACCCCAGGATGGGTCCTGAAGTCCCTGCATCCCACTGGGCACTGCCCACAAATGGTCGAAGCTCATCCCTTGAAAGGTTTCTGGGTAGGGTAGTCCCTGGATGGGAGTAGGGGATAGCACTGGTTGAGGGATCTAGATCAGGGATGCTTGCGGCTTTTAGTGCCCTGATATGGGATTGAGGAGGGGGCGTGGTCAATACCAAATGGGTGTGAACAGACGACTGGGGGTGGGGAGAAGGGAGATCCAGGTGGGGGAAGCACAGAGGTTGAGGTCAGAGCTGGGGGAGCTGAAGTCCAGGTTGAGGAGGAGGAGGCGTGGTTCAGAGTGCAGGGACCCAGAGGACTTGTGCAGGGAACCCCCTGGTCAGGTGGGTGTGGCAGTTGACATTGGAGTTGGGGTGGGGGTGGAGGCGGGGGTGGAGCTGCAGATGGCAGGGGCAGTGTTGAAGATCGGGGGTGACGGTTGAGGCAGGAAAGGGGTGGTGGGGTAGGGGTACCCCATCAGGCTGCCTCATGCCTGTTTGAGAGATGCCTACACTTCCACCTGCCCTTCTGGGGTCAGTCCCTCCAACTTCCCCCTTGGCTGAAAAACACAAACCGAAGCTGGATGGATGCAGGTGAGTTTATGAGGCAGCCTTTCCTGGCAGGAGACAGGCCTGGGTGGGGAGGGGGCAGAACTCTTCCTTTTTTATGGCTGCATAGTATTCCATGGTGTATATGTGCCACATTTTTTAATCCAGTCTGTCACTGATGGACATTTGGGTTGATTCCAAGCCTTTGCTATTGTGAATAGTGCCGCAATAAACATACGTGTGCATGTGTCTTTATAGCAGCATGATTTATAATCCTTTGGGCATATCCTCAGTAATGGGATG